ATCATCATTACTCGTAGGTCATAGTCGACGTACAGTCACTTGTAAGTAAATATTATAGTCGGTTTAGTGTATTTGCATGAAGTTGAGCGAATGCTTTTCATACCAATGTGTACAAGAGACACCTTGCCATTTCATTTGTCGCGTTGTAACTTGTAGACACCAACTTATAGACACCATCATGACACATTTATAGCGTCAACACCACTCCAACACACTTCATGGCGACTCATCTCCTCAGATATTGCAAGTTGACCGGTGTGATCGGCTCTCCGCCGCCCAAGATAGCCATGATGTTCCTCATACTCAACTCCTCAAACCCAGCATGCGTCTCAACCGTCCCACCGGCATTATGACAAGTCAGCATCGCCTTCGTCCCCGCCATAGCTACCAATCGCGCATGCGGCTTCGGCTCGTTCTCGTGAACATCCAGCGCGACGGCGCTCAAACGTCCATCCTCAAGCGCATCCGCCAGCGCCTCCTCGTCCACAAGACTGCCCCTCGCGATGTTGACGAACCGCGCCCCGGGCTTAAACCACGCCAGCGACTCCTTGGTGATGACCTTGCCTCCCGCCGGCGTGCACAGAACAACGCAATCCGAGCTCTGTAACAGCGCCTCCAACGTCGGATGGAACGTCGCCTTATACGCGCCCTCCGTCGCCTCGTCCTTCCTGATCAGATCGAAGTAATGCACCGCCATCCCAAATCCCACGCCGAGCCTCTGCGCGATCTGCTGCCCAATGTTGCCGAACCCAACGAGCCCCAGCACCTGGCTACGTAAAGTATGCGACACGCCCGTGGCCCGCGCGTGGCAGTCCCGGAAGGCGGCCTCGTCGCCCGCGGCCCCCATGCACCACGGCAGGTGCCTGAATGTCGAGATGACCATGGCGACCGCGAAATCCGCGACGGCCTCCGCGGCCGCCAGGCCGGAGTTGCAGTACACCACCCCGCGCTCGCCGAGGAGCTGGGTGTCGGCCCAGTCGAAGCCCGCGCCGGCGCTCGCGAAGACGCGGCAGGAGGGCGGGAGGAGCGGGACCAGCTCGGCGTCCCACTTGCCCATTTCGCCGCCGGTGCCCCAGAAAGGGCGGAAGACGGCGGAGAAGTCGCCCCACTTGCGGTCCCGGAGGGCGGCGGCGAAGGCGGGGCGCTGGCGGTCCGGGGTTGACGGGCGGATGACCTCAAATTGTGCGGCGAAGGCGGCGTACGTGTCCGGGTTGTATTTGATGGGATCGCCGATATGCAGGACCTTGGGTTTTTGGGTGCTGGGCAGGGGCGCTGGGGGAGGTGCGAGAATGGGTTGGGGCTGGTGGGGGGATGCAGAGCGCGGCGTTTGGGCGGCTGGTGTTGCCGGGGGATAAGGCGTATTATTTGGTTCTGCCATGATTTGCGACTGAGTTGATTGAGTATGGAAGTGAAGATGGTAATGAGGGTTTTGGAGCCGCGCAAGTTGGGTCGCGATGCGATAGATATGGGATGACAAGGGTAGCTCCCGATAGCTGGACTAGTGAGAACAACTGATGGGAGATCGTGCAGCCACGTGGGTAAGCCACTTGAAGTCGTCCGATAAGGCTGCGACAATGGAAACGGATTCAAACGCAATAAGTGGGCGGTTATCCGCTATTTGAAGTGACACAAGAGCAAGGCAGCATTGGTGGAATCACGATTGGGGTGGTCGGTGAGTGGATGAGGCGAGATTGGGCACGTCTTGCGCCTCTTGGAGATGAACTCTCCCGGTCTTGGCCGCAGAATGGTCTCCCCACTCGCCCGGGCCGGTTCGCGTGCTGGTTGTGACACTTTTTTATTCTGTGTTGTGTTGGGCTGGGCTCTCATTGTGTTTGGCTGGTTCAGATAATGCATGTTGCTCTCAGTTCGCAAGATAACCATTCAGTAGTCGCAACCCTAGGAAGATTGCTTTGGCCTCCTAAGCACATGCTATTTGGTGGTATCTGATCATGACTGCCCATAATTTTCTAGAACACGAAACCGTATGAATTTGAATAATACTGCCCGCAAGTTTCGCGGGGAACGGCGAAGGCAGCAGACCCCGCCGCGGGGGTGCAGCAGGGCAAAGTTGTGGGGTGAGGATGACGATCGGTCTAGGCTCGCCTAGTTGAGGCGGCTCTTGGCTAATTTCCCGACTTTTTGCATCTCAGCCCATCCGTGTGGGGGGCAGGTGACGGCTCCGGGGCCCCGCGAACATTAGCTGATGTATGAATGGTCTGATAATCTCTCCATCAGCAAGACGCTGCTGTCTCAACCAAACACGCGGGGAGATTGACCGAGGTGGTTTGCTCGAAGATTATCCATCAATCGATTGACTTAAAAATATCCAGATAAAAACATGTCTCGCTCAAACAATAATCTGCCTGGATTGCCATAGTATTATTGCCATGCTGCCTATTTCAGCCGGTGTCTGGCTTAGACAGACACCGGCTGCGTACATCGCCGGCACGGGTCCGATGGTGTTGGCATCATTGGTGGCACATGGTTCTCTCTTTTTAATCAATGCTTCTGTTATCAAAGGGATTTCAAGCAGCACTGTATTCTACGATACCCATTTATCGTGCGACGTGTTGTGCATGTTCTTCCGAGACCATCCCTGGGCCACAGACAGGTCTCGAATTCCCTTCCCATGGCGTTCCGTGGCATCCAACCCGAGCCAAGCCATCCTGATCCTGATATCTTACCAACGCCGTGCTTCCCAAGTAATCAATAAAATTCACAGACAAGTCAAGCATCTGCCTTGACAGCCGGCACCTCTTGAGCCTTCTTGGCATCATCTCCCTTGGGCTTCTTGCGAATCAGTCCCCCACCCAGCACATTCACAGCCGGGGCCTCTTCAGCTTTCTTCTCATCCGCAGCCTCCTCCGTCTTGGGTTTCTTCCGAACGAGCCCGGTCGCGAGGACATTAACCTTGTTGGCGGGCTCATCCTTTGCCGCATCATCGGGTCGCTTACGCTTAATCAAGCCGGAGAGGTTATTTACCTCTCCAGCAGACGACTCGTTTGATACCGGCGCAGGAATCTCGCGCTTGCCCACCACATCTAGGCCCCAGGTCTCACCCATGCCGACCTCGTTGATCCAGCGGCGGGTGCTGCCAGTCGCGAGCTCCAGCTTCGAGAAGTCGAGGTGAAGAAGTAGCTCGTTCGTCCGTTTGTAGCCGGCCTCATCGACGATCCGGCGACCACGACCTTCAGCTGGCCAATAATAATACGCTGTGGAGATGGGCTTGTCGAGTAGGTAGTTGCGCTGGTGCTTCTTGATGCGAGGTTGACGGGTCATGACGATGCCGGTCTTCTTCTTTTTCTTCTGGCTCTTCTTGTCGTCAGCCTTCTTCTCCCCTGACTTCTTGGTCGGCGTCCCTGATGGCGACACGGGGAATAGCTTTCGCGGAGTTGACATGGGAGTGGTGGGCCGGACTGCCTTCTGACGGGACGGGGTCGTGGGTGGGTTGGACGGGTCGAACGAGGGGTTTGGCGTGGGCAAAGTCGACGCTGCGCTTTCGCGCCGGGGCTGCTCATCCTTCTCAGCTTCAGGGTCAAAGACTGCCCAGATGAAGCCTGTCAACCGCCCACTCGAGCATTCTTGTCTGAAAGCCATCATCTCCCAGAACGTCTCGAGCGTCTTCACACTCTTCCACAAACCGGTGGTCTTGACCTGTTTCGACTTGCCGGCCTCCTCATCCAGCTCATCTCTGAATCTGGACTTGGGATCGTCGGGGAATCGAGGGATGAGACATCTTGCCGGGACCCAGTCGTACTCCTTCGTGTAATGCGATATCTTCTCGAGGGCATGCCCCAACACCCAATTGGCAGCACTCTTCGGTCCCCGGGGAATGGAAGCTTTCGTCTCGTAGTCGTCAAGGCCTGGAATGACGAGGTATCCTTTCACGGAACCCCACGGATCGCCATTGCCCACGGGAGGGTTCTCGAGGAGAGGGTCCAGCACCTTGCACCACCACTTGACGAGCCCCCTATCATCCAGCACATGCTTGCCGCTGTAGTCGACACTGCCGGGAAAGAGATATTGGTTCTGGGCGCGGGCGAACAGGCTGACGACTGTTTGGATGCCCTTGCGTCGGCGCTGCTCGACGAGGTATGTGACAAAGGCGCTGCTGATTTCCTTAATCGGGGAGGGTGTGCCTTTGGGAAGGTTGAGCAGGTTCAGGTAGCCGGTCGAATCGGCTTTGGCGACGAAGATTGTGCTCGAGTAAGCAGTCGTGTAGATGTACACCTCCAATGCCAAGACGAGAACCTGCTTCGCGTCGGTGTCCTTGGCCGCGATGTCTTTCGAGGCCTCGTCGGTCGTCTTTGGTCGAGAATCGATCGAAATGGCAAGGAAGTGCTTCTCGCAAAAAGTCCTGTCGTCTCGCTCGTCAGGCGGCGCAGAGTAGAGCGCTTGCGACTTGGTAGGTGGTGTCGAGAGGTGGTACACGCCGAACCGGTAGCCCTTTGGCAGGATTGCCGCAAGCTTCTCAACGAGCAGAGCACTGCTCTGGGCGGTGGTTTTGGCTCGATTGGGTGTCGCCATGATGGATTAGAAGCAAAATGTCGACGAAAGCCAATTCTTCCCTAGCAATTGTCATACCATCGTAGTTGCAAAAAGCGCAAACGTCGTCGACCAACAAGCGAAAAAAAGGAGCCGTGTCTGCCAAACCAGTTCGACGCGTCGCTGACGGGAGCTGCTCCCTTCACATGCGTGTCAGAGTGGGGTGGAGACGCGAGTGGAGATTGAAATGTGAAAGGGAATGGAAGCTGCAACGTTCAGGGGGCCCTGCCGTTGGTTCGCACGGAAGCCCGCCAGCCCAGTCCATCACCAAAGCAGACTAGCGCCGGTGCTCGCATGATCCTCACTCCGCGCGAAGACACGTGACCTTCAAAGTGGCCCGTGCAGCAGACCATCGCGAAAAGTTCTGGAGCATCATGATGAAGCTGCCAGCTCCAGGCGGGATAAAAACCACCGGACCAGCACCACGATCCCGCAGCCAGCCGCCCACCCTCCCAATGGCTACCACCACCTCCCGGTCAGCATACGGCCTCACGAGGCATGCCCTCAGGCATTGCCAACCGGCGCCCCGAGTTGCGTCCGCAGCATCCTCCCCCGCCCCGCAGTGCCTGCTCGCCGCCCGAACATTTGCGACGGCCGCCGCCGACAGCAAGATCAATGAACTGCCGAGGAGGGACGATACGTCGGAGCGGCCAAGATGGTCCTACACACCCGAGGCCATGAAGGCGCCCTTCTCACCGCACATCACCATCGACCCCAGGCGCAAGGTCTGGAAGGTGAACAACGACCCCAAGGTGCTGGACGAGATGTACGTGCGGTTTTTGGGACGGGGCGGAGACACCATGTTGCCTGAGGAGGTCAAGTGGCTGGCGGTTACACACAAGAGCTTCGACCAGGGCCGCAGAGGTTTCAACGACAGGCTGGCATATGTCGGTAGGTTTTTTCCTCTCAGTGATTTGCTCTGGGTCTAGGGGAATTGGGAGGTTTGAAGCGAGAAGAAAGGATGTAATCGAAGCTGACTCGGCGTTTGCGTTCGCTTCCAGGTCGTCAAGCCATCATCTTCGAGACCACAAAAAGCATAGTGGCGGCAGAGAAGGAGGGCGCCATCGTCCCAGATGAGTATGGCCGTGAACCGTTCCAGCACCCGGCCCTGGCCCAGGTCGATAACCTCAACGTCGAGATGCCGGTCAAGGTCGTCAACAAGGAGAAGATTGAGCAGTTGGCCTTCGATGCGGGCATCGACAAGGTTTTGCGGTGGAAGCCGGCAAAGGTAAGCGCCGATCTCACAAACCGTCTCATGAGGCATGCCCCCTCTCAGGGGCGGAAACAAAACACACGCACGCGTACACGTATGGCTAACGAAGAAACTCAGCCTGAAAACCTTGCCGGATCAGGTCAGCAGATTGTGCTCAACTCGGCAGTCTTTGCCATTGTAGGAGCCATCACCCTCCAGCACGGCGCCGATGTGGCAGGCAGAGTTATCAGGGAGAGAATATTGAAGCCGCTCTCACTCAGGCAATAACGCCGAGGAAAAAGAGAGACGTCTGTTGTATCATAGGTGTAAAACATTGACGAAAAAGATATCATCCCAACAACGCAACGCAATGAGAGAGACCGACGAAGTCACATTTCGTCACCAACTTTTTGTTTCTTTCCCCTTCGCATGACGCTGTGCCAACACCGGGCCGTGAGGAAGTTGTGGTAGCAGACAAGGAAACCCGCGAACAGTTATAGAAACCTACCCAAAAGGGGGCCAAGAGGAGAAGCATCGACGCTCGCCACTCATACCGTTAACGGCGCCGTGGTCAGGTGCATGACATGGGAAATCTTGCGGTCCGGAGGCTGCCATGCCAGCTGGAGCACTCGGCCTGTTGCCGACGAGTCGAGTGCTTTCTGCACGGTGGTGCTGCGGAAGCGCGTGCTCATCTCGACCGTGACGAGGTCGTCGACCACACGCTGTTCTACGTCTTTGCTATGAACCAGAGTTCTCCTCACTTCGCTGTTGCTAAAGGTCCTCATCAGCATGCGCGAGTGCGACGCCCAGTCGATCATCTGCATGCCCTCCTGGCCAATCTCGCCCGCGACGGCATGGATGTAGCCCTCGCCCAGTGGACGGACCATGTCTGACGTATCAGCGGTGCACAAAACAAAGCTTTTGAGGAAGGCCAGCGATTCGCTCAGAGTGGCCATCCCGAAGCCGGGGTCTGGATTGACGTCCCTAATGCCCTGGGCCCCGTAGTGCACCACGCCTTCGTGGTTGGGATCGTAGGCCAGGAGGTCGCTGGCAAGGATGGCCACCGAGCGGGTGGCCCCCTGGTAGAGGACGAGGTCCCAGTCGGGGTTGATGTAGATGCGGTCCCACGCCGGGTTTCGCTGATTCAGGGACGGGCGGCCGTGGCTGTCAGGATCGGGAGAGCGCATGGGCAGGTGGATCCTGAAGAAGGCCAGCGCCTCGCGGCGGGATTCGGAACACACGCGGAAGAGGACGGGGCTCCTGTTCTCGCAGTACCAGTGGGCGTTGCATGCAGCGTTGCCAAACTCGTTGCCGGAGGTCTCATTGCCGGGCGTGTTGCAGTCCATGGAGCCGCGGATCACGACGATGCGCGGCCAGGAGAGGCACATGAGCCATATCCTGCAACGCAACTCGTAGGGCAGTTCCGGAAAACGGTGGAAGGCTACGGTTGTAGCCCTGATAATGTCTGCGGAGGACGCCAATGGGGATGACGGGGAGGAGGGCATCAACACCGACGATGAGCAAGGCGAAGTAGTTGTTATTATCGGCTCATGTCCGGATGCGGAAACCCATGTGCGCAAGTCAAACCCTTTACAGGCTTTCAGTGCCTTCCAAGGCGTCGGGGGCTTCACCCGCGCGGCGGACGGAGCAGGGATGGCCGTGGTTCGTTGGGTTTGATGGGCACCATGATCGTGCTCGGTCTCATCCGCGGCGTCATAAGCGTCATGTCTTTGCGAAGAGCCAGATTGGTGGGTTGGGCGGACGTTCAAACCTATCGGTCGATGTGAGGGAGACGACGTCGAGCTCGAGCTTGGTAAGCCGGCCGTATCAACAACAGCGTTGTGAGTTGGTTCCATTAGGGGGTGCTGGTAAAGCTTGGCGGTGGACAAGGTTGGACGTCAAGCAGAGTGTAAAGGCGTGACAGGTTCGACGAACGCCGACAACGGCGCTAGCAACGGGTCGGACGACGGTTGGAGGGCGGTGGAATAAGCCGCGGACGCTAGAAGGTGTCAAAGGTATCAAATGGGTGTGCAGGCGAACGAGGCCCCGAGTCGGGAGGGTGCGGCGGCGTAGTGCGTCCGGTGTATGTCGTGATGTTGGCTCGAGTGTGGGGAAACGTAGACGGGAGGCAAATGAAAAAGGAGGCTGTACAGAAGTTGGAGCAAACGGCGTGTTTGACAGTCGGACAAGGTTCCTTGAGAGAGTCGTGGTGTGTTTGTGCTTCATGATACGAACTCGGACACGATGAGCAGGTTCCCCAATCAGGCAACCAGGCGGGGGATTCGAGGCGGAAGGGTACGTACCTCGCCGGGCCACTCGACCGAAGGAAAGAGCCTCTGTGGCTGCCGGTAACGGGCCGCCGTTAGTTAGGTAGCTGCCAAGGGGCTGACTAAGGCTGAGGTGGTGAGCCAACTGATTGTGGCTCTGTGGCTCTGAGAGCATCGCCTGTGTTCTAAGACATAGACGCTGCAATATGGATGGAGACATGTCAAGTGTCAAACATCAACCATGAGGTGGCAGGTAGGCAAGTCCCAGCAATCCGAGTACGGCTCGTTTTTGCAGGGTCTTTCCTCTCTGGGAAAGGTCTTGCGGGCATCTTGCGAGTTTTTCTTTTTTGAGAGGCTGGAGCTGACAGAGTGGCTCAGGGACCCTGGGGCTGGCTGTCAGAGAGTGACTTGTTGCATAGCGCCTGAATGACGCTGTGGCCCACCAACACAACACAGCCAGCACCAACACAATGGACACTAACACCGCTGCCTGCGCTGCGCTCCCCGAAGTACCTTCCCAATGGAGGGGGCTTGACGTCTTTACGCCTGTCTCTGCGTCTCTCTCTCTCTCGTCTCTGCGTCTGTGTTCCTTGTCAGATCGTGTCACATCACCAACCCTCACTGCCGCCACTGAGGAACCGTTGTTGATCTGAGACGGGGGTGGCCCATGGACTGTTTCCTGTCTCTACTGCGTAGTATTATCCAACATCCATGGAGCAAACAGCTTAATTCGTCCATTACATCAGCAACCACGGGTCAGCGAAAAGTGTCACTTACACCCGTCGACCAATCACCGAGTCACCGTCGCAACGTCACTCGACCGTCTGAAACTCCCATCGTGGGCCACTGCTTAACAATCGTGCTTCTTTTTTCTCTGCGCACCATATCGCATGGCAACTCTGCTCATCCCTTCTCCCTGCACATGTCACCCTCACACACACTATTGACCACCGTCTCCTATGACTGACTTGCCCTAAACAGTTCGTATCTCGTACACGTATTCAGCCCAACCTCGCATCGCACACACCTACTCTATTCAACCTTGTTTTGCTTCCCTTCCACTCTGTCTCCTACTCTCCCTCTCCCTCTCTGTCGGGTCTCGGACGTGCAACCCCTGCAGACATAACTCTATCTACCTCTTGGGCTCTCTCAACCATACATACTAACACGACAAGCCTTTTCTACCGTACTCTTTAGCGTTCGGTTGACACATCTCTATAGCCTAACTGTAACCTCCTGGAAACACTCTTGGCTCCGGGAAGCCTGCCCGTCACTGACAGAACTCTCTAACCCCCCAACCCCGGTCCCCCGTTCCGACCACCGACGCCTACCTATGCGGTCTCTTCAACACCGGATGTAGTAGTAGTACATGACACCACGTAACGCGCAAGCCACCTTTCACTGCAGTAGAAGTTGCTTCTGACGTCGTAGGACTGTATGTGCGCCTGTCAGTGGGCCACTTTCGGCCCCGGCAAAGAACGTCTGGGACGCTCGCAAGGGGGCGCCTCCCGGTTTCCACCACACAAATGTGTCCACCCCGGGCGGGCCACACCTGGGCCCCCGGTTGTAAGTCAGTCAATCACTGCCATGACCGAATGAGCCAATGGGCTCTGTAGTAAGCGGAATCCCGCCGCAGAATGGACGACACACACCCCCTGGGGGCTTCCGGAGGGCTCCATATCACGGTGATCGTCACTCCATGTTTTAGACTCGAGATCCTACTCGACGGTGATCCATCTCTCCTATATCTCGTCGTTCATCCCTCGGCGTTTCGATCCCGGTTCTTTTGTTTCTTCACCTCATCTGGTATTCTGTACCGGCTAAATCGACATAAATCCCTTTTTTCATCATCACGACTGCTGGCAGCCTTCCTTTTCCTGTTTTTCGTATTTGCTTATTAGAGATACCCAAAACCTTTTCGTTTTAATGTCATCGTAGACGTTTGGTCATCTACCATCTGTCCGCCACAATGGATTTCACCATGGAGATGAACAACAAAATATCACCATCAGAAGAGGCCTCGGAGAGGCAACCGCCTCCTCCTCCTCCACCGCCCCGGAACACCCTGACAACCATCATGATAGGCTTCCTGATGGTCTTCTCCATCTTCAGCGTCGGCAGGGAGATCAGGGACCAACTGTACCCTCGACCCAACGTCAACAGCCGGACAGTGACCAAGCGAGAGTTGAACTCGTGGGGCCAGGCCCTCGACTCCATCGTCTCCGCAGAGACGATCGACGCGCTGGGCAGCGACCCCAAGCTGCGGCGGACGCTGATGTCCATGGTTGACTTCACCGTCGACCTGTCAGATACCCTCGCTGCGCGGTACGAGTCGCCCCAGTTCGACGAGACGAAGCAGCTCCTGCAGGACTACAAGGAGAAGATCAAGAGAAGCCTCGAGGGCTTGGGCGAGGAGGTTGACGACACAGCAACGGAGGGCTCGAGGCCGGTCAAGAGACAGTTCGGCGGCCTTGGTGACCTCTTTAGCTCGGCGGCCAACGCGTTAACCGGCGGGGCGACAGCACAAGCGAATGGTGCTGCTGGTGCTGCTGACGGAGGTGGTGCAGCTCCCGCTGCCCCAGGACTGCCCGGCCTCCCAGGCCTCCCGGGAGCTCCTGCTCCTGGAGGAGGAGCAGCAGGCGGAGGAGGTGGTCTTCCTGGTCTCCCAGGACTCCCAGGACTCCCAGGAGCAGGTGGTGGCGGTGGTGCCGGCGGCGGCGACGTCGGGGGCATCCTCGCTCCCCTCCTCCAGCCACTGAAAGACGGCCTCTCCAACATCGGCAACTCCCTCGTCAAGAACCTCGACGGTCCTGCCATGTTCCTCGGAATCGGCGTGGGCGCCGGCGCAGCCCAGGGCCTCAACCTCTCCTCGCAGGAGAAGACGATGGCCATCGCCGCCAAGGTCGCCGCGGACAACAAGATGGAGGCCACCGGCCTCAACCCGGCGATCCAGAACCTCGGCGTCGGGCTCACCTCCACGCTCATCGGCTCCGTCGACATCTCCAGCCTCGGCGGCAACGT